CTGTTGTATGTATCCGGGATAACAACTTTAGTTTTGGTTTTACAAAGTATCTCATTTATAATAATCCAGGTTTTCCTTGAGTCGTGATGGAAGTCGTATAAGGATGGACCTATTAATAATCTTATTAATAGGTCTATGCAGTAACCATGGAGGTATCTTTTTCATATTTTGTTTTCCCACTCTGGACATGTATCTACTCTGATTGGCTGAAAATAGAAGAGCACTCATCCATCACGATGCAAAGCCTGGCTGCGAACAGGCGGTAGCAAGGACAATCTTCGCACTGCTGTTGTAGCAGTAAAGAGAATTAGGTCAGCGTCGTAGTCTTTGCGGACGCGATTTCAAGCAATAACAAAACTAAAAAAAACATTCCAAATCATATATTTTATACTTATTTTCACGATTTTTAATCCAAATACAAGTTCACCCCATTAATAACGATCGGTCGTTAAAAACAAAGAAAATATTTATGCACTGTACTAAAAGGACCATAAAATGAGAGTGGAAATTAATTTATCGACAAACCCAAGATTTTCGCTTAAACGAGAATTTAGGTCTGGTACCTAATTTCTCGATGGTACTTGAATTATCGCGACACCGGCCTAGGTTTGGTGGTCGTTAGATAAGGGCTGGCAAGGCACCCTTCTTGTAGACTGTGTAGAGCTGTATTAGTAAAGATTTTTGGAGAAAGCCTTCTGGATGTAGTTGTATACTGTACTTTTATATTTTTGTTAGTTTTGAAATATAGAAAAGCAGGAAAAAAACATGAATTTATAGAATCGTGATTAAACTGCACGCACGTCAGTCCAGCAAAATCTAAAGCTTGGTTCCCACTTGCAGAAAAACTTCCGCAACGCAAAGTACGCAACGCAACGTAAAGAAAATGCTCTTCCGGCAATTTCGTATCTCCCTTCCTTTAGGAAAGTTGAATTTACACTTCTTAGGTGACGCAACGTAAGAAAATGGATACGGTTCCCACTTGTCGCCGCGTAAACGAAATGATTTCCACGGGGAGCTTTCAAAAGCCGTTATGAAAATGTCATTCATTGTAGGGCTACCATTGTAGGTTGGGACTGGGTTGTGTTCTGAATAGTCCTATTACTTATAGCAGTCCTGGCTGGGTTAGACCTTTGGATCTGGATGCGTTCTTCCGACGTTTAAGATGCCGTGAAATTTTCGCCGACTCCGACGGCAACACCACGGATAACACGGGCAATGTTACTGAATTCAAACCTAAAAGTACCTAGAATCCCCCTAAGAATCGTTGCCCAGCTTTAGAAACTTTCATTCAGGCCATTGAGAAGGACGTTAAAAACCACACTCCTAGTCCAGATTTCCGCGACAATCTCACAAAAAATGAGAGGCAGGCCATCGCCAATTTGCGTCAGCGTGATGA